AGTGGTTAGCATGGGTGAGTATTGATACAACACCTTCATATCATTATGCCTTCTCAGATGACCCCATTCAGGTGTTGCAAATGGGAGAATCCACCAACCTGGTTGAATTTTAGCAGAGCCACACACAGTTCTCAGTTTGAAGTAGGACTTTGAGAGAGGGAACAAGGTGTTGGAAAGAATTGAAGAAAGCATATGTTGAGGGCTCAACAGATTATGAAAGAAAGAGATAGAAGGCATAAGGAACGGACCAATCCAATTTGAGGTTGATGAAAGAGTGTTCTAAAAGCTAAGACCCCTATAGGTAGAGGGCAGTCCCTCTAGGCAGGAACGAGAGTTAGCTCACAGAATTTTGGCCCTTATGCGATATTAGATAAAATTGAGCAGTGGCTATTGTTTGAGGTTTCCTACAACAACACCTCTCCACTTAGTAATTTCATATGTCACAGTGAGGAGAGCTTTACGGGATCACACAGTCAGTTTCAGAGTTACAGCAACATTAACTGAATATTTGAAAGTGGTGTTCAAACCCATGGAGCACAAGAAGGTATGCCAGGGAAGAGGGAGGGGGTCAAAGAAGTTGTTGATCAAGTGAAGGACGCTTCTGATTATGACACTACAGGGAGCCCTACGAAAGGGTGAAACATTGAATCCCATCTTTCACCTGTGAGAACGAGTGTTCTTTGGGAGAGGGGTATTGATACGCTTGAACAGATCCAACCGCGCCCAGCTCTGCAATATAGTAGGCACAAGCCTATTGGTCCGCAGGATCCCCCTTGGAGTGGGTTCCCACTACCAAGTGACTAATTGTTTGAGGGTTGTTTAGTCCTTTATGCTATTTTTGTTACTTGATTTAAGTAGGAGTTTGTTATTAAGGTTATGGTATATGATAATTGTGGTTGATTTTGTTGTTCTTGATGCTTGGCGTCTTGGCTCTAGTGGCGTTTAGGGATTGGGAGGGGAAAGTTCCTCCTCTCGAATTTGAGGATCAACTGTATCTTAGTATTTTCCTTCTGTTATCTTTGGGAGATTGCAACAAAATTGTGTTTTCTGATTTTCTTGATGTAAAACGGGTAGGATGGCTTTGCTAGGGAGAGGATCTCTCTCCAAAATTCCAAGTCCTTCCACAAAGCTGAAAATTTCGTTAAAAGGAATATGAAATATTTCAGATTTTTCTTTTCTCAGAAATCTGAGAGGAATTCCAACTCTTAGTGTGGGAAGGAAAGACTTAGCAGCCAAGATTTATGGAAAACCATCAACGTGGAGTAAGGAAGATAAGAAAACTGAAGGGAGGAGTGAGGTGGGTGACAGGAAAAAGAGGCCAGCGGGATTGAGAAGGATTGGGGATCTTCTTCCTAAATCCAATATCTAGTTTTAGGAAATAAATTAAAGCCAAGGGATTACGAAAATTTCAGCTAAGGCTGTTAAGCTGAGAAGAAAATTCCCATCCACGTCAAATTCTGCAGCGATTTGGGGTGCAGGAAACTTATGAAACTGCCTCCTTTTTGGAAGGAATTTGGTGAAATAAAATAAGCAAAACAATTAAGGAGGAGGCGGCTGAATGTGGCTAGATTTTTGGAATTATTCCAATTCAGGAGGCTGAAATAAGTGGATTAGAAGTGGACGGGACCACTTGGAGAATTGGCTCAGAGAAAGGCTTGATTGTTTCCAAGAAAAGGAGGTGTAGCATTAGGAAAGTAATTTGATTTTAATCCATGAGGGGGCTGGCGGGATTGAGGAGGGAATTTTATTTCCCAAATCAAATTCCTTAGATTAGGAAATTAATTTCAGAAATATGAGAGAGGGAATTTCGGCTAAGTGGAATTGGCGGAGATTTTAAATTATTTCCAAAGCCAAGAGGGGAGATTAGGAAGTAATTAATAAATCAAGCCAATGGGCAAGGTTGGGCCGGCGGCATCCAAGGGAGAGGAGGGAATTTGGTGATTTAAGACTCTTAGATTTGAATTTAGGAGTTATAAAAGTGAGACAATAAATCAGATTTTGAAATTTAAAATTTCAATTGATGGATTTAGTAACTTTCCAAAAATAGCACGATAATTAGGAAGGAAAATTTGAATTTCAAATTAATTCCCTAATATCATGCACTCCTAATAAGGAAATCCAAGGAGAGGGGAAAGGATGAGGCCGGCGGCTAGGGAGCCACGGCGGCAGTTTGTGGTGGAATCTTCGGGTGAGGTGGCCCGCGGCTTTTGTGGAAATGGGGACGACGATGGAGGACGAGGATAGAGGATGACACAACAAGAAGGAACCAAAGAAAACACAAGATAGAAATGAAAGATAGAAAATAAAAAAACAAAAAAAAACAGCGAGCCTCGGACTCTTCCGAAACTGACGGGTGATGCTTTGCCCTTCTCCAAGACTTCAAATCACGAGCCCGGACCATCCAGCGGCTGGTGACAAACTCCGATTCCTTCCCATAGGAATCTCACTCTCGTCCTCTCTCAAAAAGAACACACAGTGTGGACAAAAATTTTTTAATATTCAAAATCTTCATCCTTTACAATAGCTAAGGCCATATATATAGGGCACAACATGAGAAAAATAAAA